GTTAAAAATAATTAAATAAAAATAATAAATAAAAAATAATTAAATTTAAAAAATAAAAATAAAAATAAATAAATAAAATTAAAAAAATAAAACTAACATGAGGATTGGGAGTAATGACTTGGGAGCAGCAGTTGAGGCCAGAATTCTGGCCTGGAATGGGCAGGTACTTGGGATGGTAGGGGCTTAGGAAAATACCAGGTTTCTCCTGAGGCAGAAAGTAAATTCTGCTAATAACCAACGAGCTTCAAAGAGAAACTTGAGCCTCTGATACAACTGTAACCCCAGCCAACACCTTGATATCAGCCTGTGACACTGTGAGCAGAACACCCAGTTTAGTCTTGCCTGGACTTCTGACCTACAGAAATGTGAATAATAAATGAGTTAAAAAATAGAATAGAATAGAAAGGCTGGAAGGATATCTATACATACATGGCTAAGAGCTGGCTGTAAAAATCAATAGATAATGGATTTTCAATAAATGGTGCTGAGATAACTGGTTATCCATTTTGTGGGGGGAAAGGTAATCTCTACCTTATACCTTACCAAAAAAGGAGGAAAGAAGGCACGGGGCGGGGTTAGATGAATTAAAGATCTGAATATAAAAAGCAAAATGATAAACCTTTTTGCAAATAACATAGGAGACTATCTTTATACCTTTGAAATAGGGAATGATTTCTTAAGAGAGATAAAGCTCAACACTTTATAAATTTAAAAAAAAATAGTATTAAGTCACTAGTTTGGGATAATTGTTACACAGCCTATAACAAAATCAACCCATTCAGTCTTCTATATTAAAATGTAGAAGAGAGGATCTCGTTCTTTCTCCTGTCCTGGCACACTAGAAGAAACCGGATAGAAGTATCAGTGACTGTGGGTCATTACGGCAAGGGCTTTCCCTAGGGCCAGGGGGGACTGTCTGAAGGAGCCATCAGTTGTTTCTATTCACCTCTGTTGGAAATCACTACTGTAAATGACTTAGACATTTCTTTCAATGTTGTCAAATATCAAAATATGAAATTAGCATGATTTTACCTTTGCTGGCCCTCAGTTGACTCCCATGCTGCCCCCACCCCATCTCTCATTGGCTCTTCGATAATGAGGTTTCCCTGCCCATCCTCTATGTTGTCTACCTCAGATCTCCATTGAGTCTGCGGGATTTGTCCCATCAAAGAATTACTTGATATGACTGAACTCATCAATGCCATGCACCAGCCAAAATAGCTTGTGTCAGGATCATTTGGAAAAAGTGGGAGACATGTTAATGTTGGTTTTAAAACATAGCTAAGAAGCTATCTTCTTTTTCTTAGGTAAGTCCCTTTAACATTTCATATAATAAGGGCTCGGTGATGATGAACTCCTTGAATTTGATCTTATCTGAGAAGCACTTTATCTGTCCTTCCATTCTAAATGAAAGCTTTGCTGGATAGAGCAATCTTGGTTGTCTAAAACAAAAGCAAATTAAGAGGACAGCTAGATTAGTAGTGAACCATAGAAATGAAGATCACGTGGAGGGTTAGCAACAGGGGAGTAGAAGAAAGAGAAGGGGGAGAAGGTACAGAAAATAAGTAGCATAGACAGTAGATAGAAAATAGATGGGGGAGTGTAAAAATAGTAGGGGAAATATAGAATATAAAGAATTTGAGACACGTGTTCATGAACTAAAGGGGGGAATGTGGGGGAGGGGTGTGCAGGGTGGAGGGGAATGAAGGGGGGAATAGAACAAATGTAATGGCATAATCAATAAAATAAAAAATAAATTAAAAAAAACATAGCTAAGAAGCTAAATTTGCTTCTGGAATAGAAAAGAAACAGTGATGCCCTTTTAGGCCAAGCATAATTGTCTTCTAATGTCCAACAGTATCTCCCACAGGATGTCAGATATTTAAAATAAACTTGGAAATGAACAGCTTACCGTTTTCAGAGTTGAAATTCAAACCTTGAAGCTCCTTCAAATGGCATACAGCACATTTTAGCCCTCGTGTTGGCATCTTGCAGTACAAGATAGGCTGGGCTGGGGGCTTTGGACTTCCTTGGGGCTCAGGGGAAGGGGCTGTCACTCAAGGCTGCCCTATCTTGTGGCATCAACCTGCCAGTGCCTTTCACAGGCACTACATATCTGACATGCCCACACCTGCTCTTTCCTCCTGTGTCTTCATTACAGGAAAAGCCACCACCATCAATTCATGTGATGCGAGCTAGAAACACAGCAGCCATCTTGGATTTTCCCTCCCTCCACCCTCTTCATTCTCTTTAGCGACCAACTTCTTGAGTTTACCTTTAAATTATTTCTTAGATCTCATGAGCAGTATGGTGTAGTCACTGAATGCAGAGATTCTGGCATTTTAGACAGGCAAACATTAAACTGAATTATTGTTTATAAGATGTTTCTACCTCTCTCATCCTGCAACAAGAAGGCATTTCCCATAGAAACACTACTCTAGCCCTGGCTGGGTGGCTCAGCTGGTTGGAGCATTTTCCCACACACCAAAAGGTTGAGGGTTCAATCCCTGGTCAGGGCACATACCTAGGTTGAGGGTTCAATTCCTAGTCAGGGTGCAGAAAAGAGGCAACCAATCGATGGTTCTCTGTCACATATATGTTTCTCTTTCTTCTCCTTCCTCTCTCTAAAATCAATAAACACATCCTCAGGTGAGGACTGAAAAAAAAAAGAAAGAAACCCCATCTAAATGGTATCAGGTTACTAGGCTAGTTTATAGCAGACTGTTCAGATCATAGTGTCCATGAATGGCAGTTAGAACCCCTTTCAGCCTCTGGAGTTGTGAGGAGCCCATTTTCAGTCTCTGACCTGGGCTAGCCACTCACATCCGTGAGACAAAGAAAGGACACACAGTTGCAGTGGATTCCAAAGTTCCGAGCATTTTCCTTAAGCTTGGCATATGGGGAGCCCTGAGGCAGCCTCAGATTAATGTGTGTATATGTGTGTCTGTTGAGAACAGTGGGAGATCTCACCTGTCCTTGAGAGGCTAGTCATGTGACCTTTGATGTATTTGAGCTGCCCATCCCAAGGCCCCATCAGAGGGCAGCTCCGCCTGCAGTGGGGTTGGCTTCAAGTGTGTGTGACCCGTGCAGTTGCACAGGGCCTGCATTTGGAAGAGCAGTAAATTCAGTTTAATGCTCTGCCATCACCATGATGAAATATGTAATAATTTTTTAACAAGAAAGCCCACATTTTCATTTTGCACTGGGACCCACATATAATATAGCCAGTCCTAGGCTAGAAAAAAGGGTCAGGGATGTGGAATTGTTAACAAATCCTTGTGCCGATAAAAAATGGCTAGTATGCCATTTTCACATTTGCTATGAGTTTTCAGCCCTTGTATTAATTCATTTATGCACTTACTTGACAGATATTTATTGGGTACCTCTTATGTGCTGACACTGTTTTAGGTGCTGGGGATACAAAAATAAAGAGAAAAAAATCCTGTCTTCACGGAGCTCACGTTCTACTGAAGGAGACAGGGAAGAGGGTATCGAATGTGTGTGGAAACCCAGATAGGATGTGTATGTATATATAGGAAGTTGAGGTAGGATCTATATGTGTATAGAAAGTATATCTATCTATCTATCTATCTATCTATCTATCTATCTATCTATCTATCTATCTATCTAATCATCTTTCTATCTATCTAAACAGCCAGAAAAGACTTCACAGAAATGGCAACTTTTGGTAAAGGAAAAATAAGGCCATTTTCCTAGGGGGATTGTACAAATCCTGCTAAGCTTTCAAAGAAGAGTTCCTTTTTGGGCCTTAGAGATTTACTTCAGAAGTATTGGGACCACATTTTCTTTTACGTAGTGCCTGAGGAAAATCTTTTCCACTTATAAATAAAATGAGGGTACATTTGAGAAACAGACTTAATTTCATCTTGTCTGCATTGGATGACTATAGCCTATGTGCTGCAACATGCTGAGTTTTGTAGACAAGACATGGATACAAAAATAAATAAGGAAAGGCAACCTTTGAGAGAGACCTGAGGAAAAGAGAATCTTCAGGAATGGAGGTATATAGGTAGCTGGGAGAATGACAAGAAGAGGGAAAAGGAAGAAAGCAAAAATTCTGAGGTGGGACCATGCCTTGTCAGTGCATCCGAAGTGGAGAGAATACAGGGAGTGAAGGTGATGGGGAAGTAGGCAGATCTCATAGAGGCTGGCAGGTTACAGGCAGTGCCTTGAATGTTTCTAGTACTGCCATGGGAAGCTGCTCATTAAACACCATCTGACTGATGTTTTACAAAAATCATCCTGGCTTCGAAGACTGAGAAGGATAGACTGGAGAAGGTCAAGGGCAGAAGAAGGAAGACCAGTTAACAGGCTATTGTAATATTCTGGGCAAAAGATAATTGTAGCTTGGGCATTCAAGTGGGTGAGTTCTGGTTTTATTTTAAATGGAAAGCCAAAAGACCAGATGCAGGGTGACCAAAAAAAAAGTAGCATAAAGGATAAAACCAAGAGTTTTGACCTGAGCAAACAGAAGAAGGAAGCGATACTGGTTCAGGGAACATATCAGGGATTCTACTTGGATAAATTGAGATGTCCACTGGTAATCCAAGCAGATGTCAAACAGGCAGTCAATTTAATAAAATCTTGGTTAAAGATATAAATCTGAAGTCACCAGCATATAGATGATATTTGAACGACTACAGATATAAAGTAATTTTTTAAAATGTTCAAATCTTTGAGTTTTGTTGACACTGGAGCTGTTTCAAAACATGTGTTATCAGTGACACAGGTACAGTCTAGGGCAGGTGTGACACTTGGAGGGCCTGACTGCAAAGTTCAGTAAAGTGAAGATATGATCACATGACATAGCTGTGTTTTCACTGACTAGTCTCTGAAAATAAATAAATAAATAACACGGGAAGAAAATATCTCATCGGTTCGGTTATTTATTTTAAATCCTTATTGAGTTTATTTTATCCTATAACTAGTTCAAATTTCCACTTGATTAAGGAATTTTTGTAGCTAACAGAACAGGACTTGAGCTGGAGAGTCCTCACAGATACCTCCTTCCACAGCCCCTCAAATCTTGGTGTAATCCATACCGTTATCATTTTTAGGTAAGAGCTCTTCCAGATGACTTTGTTTTGGGCTTGCAGCTTTGAGAAAACATCATCAGAATCATCCATCTTCTGATAACGTAAGAAGGAGATTTGGAGCCAGGATGCGTTTTGGGAGTACTTCATGTTGAAAGCCTAGTAATTTACTTCTTGTGGAGTTTTGACATTCTAGCCAGCCTGGCCAGATGAGTCAGAAGAAGGAATCTGTTGAGGCATTCCTGGAATCATATCAGAAGTACCGGGCAGGCATTCCTGCTTCCAGGGCTCCTTTTTAAGGAGTTTTGTGTTCTCCTACATGAATATGGTCTTCATGGAACTAGCTACTGATATCAGTGGCTAAAGAGAAAACAAAAAAAGCAAAGAAGTCACTAGCAGAGAGTAAAACACACTTAGTATGGCAAGAACACAATATTGCCATTTTCATGCTCAAGACTAAGAACAAAATGGAAACAGACTTGTTCTAGCAAAGCATAAAAGAAAACTTGGAAATGGGGTTATGGAGGAAGTTCAGAGTGAGGATTTAAACTCAAGCATAGCAGTCATTCTCTCTTTCTTGGTCATGTGGCATGGAGGGGAGTAGAACAGCCATGAAGAAGGGAATATATAGCATCTATGAGGCTCTCTTATTTTCCCTCTCTTTTTCTCTCTCTCAGGCACACTCCGCTTTTGGCCAAGCGGGGAGTAGTAGTGAGAGAAGACATACTGTCTGTAGTAAGGTATTTCTGCCATAGGGCTTAGAAGAGAGAAACAAGCAAGCAGCTCTGTAGTTTCCAGTGAGGAAGCAGTGCATGTGGCCTGGACTAACAGGAAAGGAGATGCTGTGGCAGTGATAGTGCTGCTCTAGCTGACTCCAAGGCTGCAAAGGACTTCCTTGCAAGATCCCATATGGCCACACCTGGATTTTACCTGGACTTTTAAGACCTGTGCCTTTCTGAGTTTCACCACAATCCAGAGTAACACAGCACATGACTTCTGGACCAATATAAAAAGGCTAATGGCAACGTACTCCAGATACTGCAGTTCAGATAAGAACACAGGGAACTTTTGGGAGTGTTTTTGGCTAGTGGCCTGGTGGGGAGCATGGGAAGTGCTGGGTCTCTTGGAAAAGGAAGGTTCCAAGTTGAGGTGCTCTGAGCACCCCCAGGGTTGGAATGTTGTAAAAAAGGACCTGCTCCTTCCAGCATTAATTGTTGGGTCATTCACCAAGGTGCTATGTGTATGGGCCCCTGTCTGCTTGGTGATAAGACTACTGTGTAACAGTAGTATAAAATCATCTTTATTTATTTGTGAACCATCCAGACTTAAAAAAATCCATTGTTTATAAGTAAAGCTGAGCATATCCATATAAATGTAAATAAGCTTAATATTTGCATGTTTTCATCAAAGTGGGCTTTGAAAACTAGCAAAAGCTAGCTAACTGTATAAGACTGTATTAAAGTTTTTAATGCACGGATGTAGTGATAGTTACAAAGATGTCAGATTTCAAGTCCAATAAGTCAATTTCCTGTCTGGGTATCATGTACTTTGTAGAAACACAGAATGACACATTTTCCAGAAGACTGTGGCAAAAATTATGGAGACAAAAGATATGTTTGTCAGACAAATGAACAGGCAGTTATTTCCAACTATTCTAAGTTATTCATTTATGATCACTATCACAGAATCACAGAGGTGGCATCTGTGGCTTTATACATAAATAAATAAAATAATATATCTGAAGTATACAATGATAACCATATTTGGTTTTTGAAAAAAACTGAATAATTTGCCCTGGCTGGTGTGGCTCAGTGGATTGAGTGCTGGCCTGAGAACCAAAAGGCCACCAATTTGATTCCCAGTCAGGGCACATGCCTGGGTTGTGGGCCAGGTCCCTGGCTGTGTGTGAGAGGCAACTGATGGCTGTTTCTCTTGTTCACTGATGTCCATTTCCCTCTCTTTCTCCCTCCCTTCCCCTCTCTCTAAAAATAAATAAAATCTTTTAAAAAATTGAATAATTTTTGAAAAGGGCTCAAAGAATCCTATATAAAAATATATTTGTTCCAGAGTTCATGCCCAGATGGAGGTGTAGGTAGAAACCCTTCACTTCCTCGAACAACCAAAAGGAGGCTAACGACTGATCTAAAATCAACAAACAAACAAAAGTACCGGAAAATCAAACTTCATGGAACTCTGACAAGCAAGGAATTAAAGAAAAAATCAACCACAGCAACCATACCAGTAAGGTGTGGATGGATCATGCAGGCCAACTCAGAAAAACCGCAGCAATGTGGCAGACTGTGGGGGTACCCATGGTGGGAGTTTCCCCCAGTCTCACACAGAGTTCATTGAAAGGTGTGCCACAGATGAGTGAGTGAGCAGTGCTATTCCCTCTCTGGCCCCTCCCACACAGGCTTCACCACTGCACAGCAAAGAGGATTGCCCTGCCCAGGTGAATACCTAAGGCCCTGCCCCCTTACAACCTATCAGCTGCACCAAGACAAAGAAATATGGCCCAAATGAAAGAATAGAGCATAAACTCAGAAAGAGAACTAAGAGATGAGGAGATCGCCAACCTATCTGATGAAGAATTTAGAACCCTGGTCATCAAAATGCTCACAGAATTGATTGAGCTTGGCTGAAAAATGAAAGAACAAATGCAAGATACCCAAAATGAAATAGAGCAAAATATTCAGGGAACCAACAGTGACAGGAAGGAAACTAGAACTCAAAGCAATGATTTGGAACAAAAGGACGAAATAAACATCCAACCAGATCACAATAAAGAAACAAGAATCCAAAACAATGAAAAGAGGCTGAGGAATCTCTGGGACAACGTGAAACATTCCAATATATGAATTATAGGGGTGTCAGAAGGAGAAGAACAGCAGCAAGAAATTGAAAACTTATTTGAACAAATAATGAAGGAAAACTTCCCCAATCTGATGAAGAAAACAGACTTCTAGGAAGCCCAGACAGTCCCAAAGAAGTTGGACCCAAAGAGGAACACACCAAGGCACATCATCATTAAGTTACCCAAGATTAAAGACAAAGAGAAAATCTGAAAAGCAGCAAGAGGAAAGGACATAGTTACCCACAAAGGGGTGCCAATTAGGACATCAGCTGATTTATCAAAAGAAACTTTGCAGGCAAGAAAGGACTGGAAAGAAGTACTTAAAGTCATGAAAGGCAAGGACCTACATCCAAGATTACTCTATCCAGCAAAATTTTCCTTTAGAATGGAAGGGCAGATAAAGTGCTTCTCGGATAAGGTCAAGCTGAAGGAGTTCATCATCACCAAGCCCTTATTATAGGAAATGTTAAAGGGACTTATCTAAGAAAAAGAAGACCAAAAATATAAACAGTAAAATGACAACAAACTCACAACTATCAACAAATGAACCTAACAGAAAAGAAAAACAACAGAAACAAAAAATAAGCAAACAACCAGAATAGGAACAGAATCAGAGAAATGGACATCACATGGAGGCATTTCAGGTGGTGGGGGGGAGAACGGGGGAAAGGATACAGGGAAAAAGAAGCATAATTAGTAGGCATAAAATAGACTGGGAGAGATAAAAAATGGTAAAGGGAACAGAGGACTCAAATAACTTATATGTACAACTCATGGACATGAACTAAGTGGGAGGAAGGCTGGAGAATTGGGGGGTAGGGTAGAGGTGGGTAAAGGGGGAAAAATTGGGAAAACTGTAATAACATAATCAACAAAAATACTTCAAAAATTAAAAGCAGAATGAAAATACTGTAGGAGAATGAATTGTCTCATTAAAAAAATTCACACAATTCTCTAAAGTTTTTCTCAAAAAACCCCACAGTTCTTTAGTTTTATCATAAAAGTTTAAAAAACACATTTGCATGAAACATGAAAAAATAACAATAACCACTAAACAAGTAGAATTCAATGTAAATGCAAAACTTTCAAAATCTATTATCTAGATTATTATGTTATTCTAAATTATGATACTAAAACTTTTCATTGCAAACATAATTTGAATATATGAAAGGCCTGGTGAATTTGGTTTGCCTGCAAGTTAACCTAATTTTCTGTGTTTCTTTGTGTTGTTTTAACATATATACATTATGTTCTTCAGACTATATATGTGTCTATTTTTTTAAAGAAAAACTACTGACATTTTATAAAGCACTATTTTCTCCAAAACTCTGAAAACATGAAACTTGATGTGTTTTCTTTTAATAAAAGTGTTTAAGTAATTATGAAAAAAACATGTATTTGTTCCAAGTGACATATTCGATTTTTTTAAATATGATTTTTTAAACCAGTAACATCTAAGGTATTTCCTAAATCTAAAATGGAATTACCTTTACACATTTTCTTTTTTCATTGGCTGTGATCTTATTGACATATAAAGACAGAAAAAATGGAGGCTAATGGAGGCCTCAGCACATTTTGCACTGTAGCCAGGATGACTGTGGGCCTCCTGGTGTCCATCACTGGGATGTATGCACCCAAATGCTGAGTTCCTCCTCCCTACCTGGTGTCAACTTTTCACATTCTTGTTGAATCTGATACTCTTCTTGCTTCAGCATTTCTGTCATTTGGGTTTCCTTGAGGTTATTATCATACTCCTCGTTCAACTGGATCTTCTCCTGCCTATTCTGGGGTAAAGTGACAGAGTTAAATCAGATTAGCCCTAGGCACAAAGAGGTCGTCTCTTCCTGGGATTGGCCTCAGGTCCTTCAGGTGTGCTGAGTCTGCTCTCTTAATGAGCTTTTAGGCTGTTGGTAGCTTGGAAACCACCAATTCCATCAGTCATGTGAGTTTTATTCCTTCTTCAGCCAGCCCCACCCAAACACCCTGTGCTTCTGGGATATCTGGGCCTAAGCCACCCTCACAAAGTAAATAAACCAAAAAACTCCCAGGCCAGTTCCAGAATTCTGCCTTTTATCCTAGATTACTCTGGAAAAGCTGGAACCAACCCCACCACCACCACCACCACAAACTGATCCGTGCATTTACACACACCTCTTCTTTTGTTTTAGTGATCTTCGTGTAATGATAAAGCCAGTGAGCCAGGTACTCTATGGGGTCACTGGGTCGAACCTTTGCCACCTCTGCCAGTGCCTGGGCAAGGCAATTTCCAAAGCATCTCTTCAGGTAGTCAGTTTCCATCTTGTGTGCTTGGGACACATCAAAACAGTCACACTATTTTAGAAACCTAATTTGATTTTAAAAATAGACACATTCTAACCAATTGATGAGGGAACTCAAGAGTTGGAAATATTTAGATTTTGGTAATAGTCAATAAGCTTAGCAGTTAATGCATGTAAAAAGCTATTGTTTCAAGACCTGAAAGTACGGCCCACCCTGACTCAGGACACCATGAGCAATTGAACCTTTGTGCTAAAGAAGAGACAATAAGCAATCAAGATGGTAAATAAGCCATTGTGGTCCAGGGAGAGACAACCTGATGCCCAGAATACAGATAAAGAATATCATCCAAGGACACAGGACCCAGATAGAAAATCACTAGTGAACAGATGAAAGGATGTTAGGAAAATTTGCCAGACTGCAGCTTTCCTGAATTCCAAATCCCTTGCCTACACTTTTTCCTCCTTATAAAAAAGGCTGGCTTGAAAGGAAATACAAGATGGTCTGTTAGAGTACATAACCCACCATCTTCTGAGATCGCCAGACATCTGAATAAAGCATCCATAAAGATTCAATCCCTGTCTCTGCTTATTGGTTCTGGTAGTGATAGGCAATATGAATGCTGGCTTTTCCAGTTTCATAATTAGGATTCATATCAGGATAAATATGAAAGGGTTCTGTACCCCACCTTTCTCCAAGAATCAATAAATACATACATGCTAGTAGCTCTTAAATTCAACTGGATTTTTTCCTAAAGCTCTCCTAGGTCAGACAATAGGTCCCAGAGGAGTTCAGGCATGACAAGAGCTTCGTAGATTGGTGGCTAAGTGTGGCTAAAGCCTCCACTTACATGTCTATGGCCATATCACACTGAATGTTCCCAATCTCAGAAGCTAAGCAGGGTCAGGCCTGGTTAGTGCTTGGATGGGAGGCCTCCACTTACCCACATATTTCTACTTTTGAGCAGAAAGGAAACAACTAAGCAGACATGGGTCCAAAGAGAGGCTCTGAGTACCTGGAAAGCTGTGCTGTTATGAGATTGGAAGCAACAGTCATCTATGACATAGATAAGACAGGCTTCCTTATTTCGTAAGGTAACACTGAGAAGCCCTGGGAGTAATAGGGAGGGAAAATGCCAGGCACTGTAGCTACTGCTGGTCAGGGACTCTGCCAGCACTTTACACAATATTCACTCTCTATTTTTTAAGCAAGAAGCTACTTTAGGTTGAGTTGATGGCCCTGGATTCACTACTAATGAGAGTTCAAGAGCTGGAAGTACAGCCTGAGTTAGACCACAAATACGAGTAATGCTGTGGTACATCAGTATGAACACAGACTCTGGTATCAGACAGACCGAGTTCCAGTCTTGCTTCTGCCATTTATTAGCTGTGTGGTCTTCAGCAAGTCACCAGTCTGTGTGAGCCTTGGTTTTCTCATCTGTAAAACAGAATAACAAAGGTATGTGCTTCATAACTGTGAGGATTAAAGGAGACAATAAACACACATAAGGCATTAATCCTGGCATATAGTAAGTAATAAATATTTGCCATTACAGTGGAAGACTGTGATATGAAATGGCCTAGCCCCTGGCCTATTCCTGACTAACTCCATATTCCTGAAGTTTATGTGTTTTAACTCCCAAAGAGTTAATAATAAAGTGGCTAATAAAGACTTAGATCTGGTCTTAACATTTTCTGGAGGCATTATGCAGTTTAAGGAAGGAAAGATAAATAGATAGATACACAGATATAAATATAGAAAAAATATATTATTTCATAGCTCTTCCCACTGCAAAAGCCAAGAAGCAAAAACACCTCAGTAGCAATGAGCAGCACACTGAACACACTGAATTTGTCTTAAATACCTGCCACTACTTAAAAGGAATCAGGGCTCCTTGGAGAAATGGCTAATTCCAAGGTTCAGGTTGGAAAAGCCCAATGAGCCTGAAGCATTTTGTTGTCCCAGGAAGAAATTGTTGAAAAATAAAATGGTTGAGGACACAGAAACCAGCCTGCAGGGGCCACTCCTGGCTGAACCTGCGCAATTTAATCCTCAAAATACATAATGACCATAATAGATTATAACTAATTGAGTAAAACAAAATCTATGAGTCCCTATAAAAACAAATAAGTGAATGAGAGAGATGGCAAGTAGAATGCCAACTAATACTGAAGTTTTTTGAAAAATCGCTATTTTATACCCATCAAAGTGTAATTCAAGCCAGAATCATCAATGTATACTAAATCTCAGTGAATATTTGACAAAGAATAGAACATTTATATAGTCTCAAAGTTTCTCCCCACAAATTATATTAAATCCAAAGGGGAATACAGAAACTTTATGTAATAAAACCTGGACAACACGACCTTTACCAAGTGATCAAAGTAAACATCATCAGTAAGAGACAGTGACATCACATGTCTTCTGGTGTAATATACTTCTTAGTGGGGCATAGTACATTTCTGTGAATTCCTGCCCCCAGTGCAAAACTTGAATCTGATCTGAGGAAAAGCAAAACAAAGCCCAACTGAGTATACAACTGACTTGAACCCTTAAAAATGTCAAGGTCATGAAAGGCAAAAAAAGATGAGGAACCACTCAGATCAAATGAACCTAAACAGGCATAACAATTACATCAATACATGATCTTGGATTGGATCTGGACCAGAAAAAAATTCTATGAAGTACATTGTTATTGGAAAATTGGACAAATCAAATGTGAATTGTAGATTATATAACAGAATGGCATCAAGATCAAATTCCTGGTTTTGGTAATTGAAATGTTAGTAAGTAAGACAGTGTCCTTGTTCTTAGGAAGTGTACAGCATGGTAGGGCTGAGTAAGGGCTCCCAAAGATGTCTAAATCCTATTACCTGGAACCTACGAAATATGTTATATGGCAAGGATTTTGCAGATGTGATTAGAGAATATGATTGGGGAGATACTCTGGATTATACAATTAGGCACAATGTAACCACATGTTCTTTATAAGAGGGACACAGTAGGTCAGACAGAGGAGATGTGATGATGGAAGTAGAGGGAAAATAAGGTGATATGATTCAGGACCATGAGCCAAGGGATGTGGGCAGCTTCTAGAAGCAGAAAAAGCAGGGAAATGGATTCTCCTCTAGAGCCTCCAGAAGGAACCAGCCCTGCCAACAATTTGTTTTTAGACCTGTAAGACTCATTTTGGATTTCTGACTTCAAAAACTATAAAAGGGTAATCCACAGGAATCCACAGAAATGTACTATGTCCTACTAAGAAGTATATTACATCAGAAGACATTGAAGCCACTAAGGTTGGGGTATTCAGAATGAGTCACCCCAAGATGTGCCTCTGTGACATGCAGATTGTTTTGAGCTAAAGGCAACCAAGACCCTCAGTCTCAAGAGAAACTTCTGTGCCCTCCCCCAACTACCTAGAAGAATTGGAAGTAGAGGCTTTCCCCATAATAAGAGATTGTCAGGATAACATTTTAACCTTATGCCTAAAGCAAGGAAAATTTCTAAATACTGAGCATCTGTTCATCTTGGTGTCCTGCAATGACCTACCTCTCCTCTGAAGCCCCAAGGTGATCCTTAACTCAGAATGTCATATAACACCTCATTTTCCCTTTCTGTCTTTGAACCTCTCATGTATGTGTGGTCATGTGTGCAGGGTTCCCATACATATGATGAAATTAAATTTGGTCATTTATTTTGTTAATCTGTCCTATGTCTAATGAAGTATTAGACTAGCTAAAAGAACCTTGAGGGTAAAGTTTCTTCCTCCCCCCTCAGGTGGAGGGTGGGAATGGGTGTGGAGCTCATCTCCTCCTGACAATCTATGTCTCACTTGAATCAGTGCAGCAGAGTAAATGATCTTCTACTCCCCTTCTACTCAAGGGTGGTCCATGATCAGCAGCACTTCATCAACTGGGAGCTTGTTGAAATGAAGATTTTCAGGTCCTATACCAGACCTACAGATTCAGTTTACATTATAATAAAATCCCTAGGTGACTCAAAGTTACAAATCCACTTTGCCCTTATCACTGTAGAACCACCCTTCCCTGAGCATAGAATCACTAATTTTGCATTCCCAGGAAGTCTCTCCATTCCGAATCCTTGGTGGTAGTTGGTGGGGAGGGGGCACATGGGTGAGCTGCCATACTGTGTAGTGTGTGGCAAACCCTTTCTGGACAAAGCATCTGCTCCAAATTGCACACTTTCAACAATGGTCTCAATGAAATATTGTTGATCTGAGAGTTAGCAGGCTTGCTGCCAAGACAGTTGAGCCACAATAACAGAACCACAATGCGAGGCTTGGAGAGGGAGGGGGCAAAGGGAAGCTTTCACAGCTCACCCCACACCAACTCAGGACACACTCACCAAGCAGGTAGAGCTATTTGGGGAGAGTTTCCAGAGCTCCTGGGAAAGTCTGCTTACACTGGGGTTCCCTATTCATGGCCTTGCACTCAGTAAAACAGGTCAATAAGCATGGAGATTGTCTTTGTTCACACTCTATTCACAGTGCTAGGCACACAGTAGGTGCTCAGTAAATATTTTTTGACTTAATCAGCTAGGGCTCTAATGCTTATGAGCCCAAGCAAGGGCATGTACCCTTCCACCTGTCAGTGCTCAGTCTGACACTTACCTCAGCTATCATTTAGTGAGGCTTCTGCCCAGCATTGCCCTGCACATGAATTAAAACAAAACATGGGAAATTTTAGCAGAGTATTGTGTACAAAACTAGGCCAGTTCCCAGGCTCTGGCCTGGCTTGGGTTGGACAGCTTTCCGGAGGCGAGGGCACCTGGGCTGATTCTGAAAGGAACCAAAGCAGAGGTCGCCCGCAAGTGCAAAGGTGCGAAGTCATGAAAATACAGGCCCATGGAGCCTGAAGCGGTTGGCTCCTTTGGCCAGGTATCATCCGGAGAGGGGATGTTTTCTTAGACAGGCAGCCCTTTTAGGTTCCTCCCCATGAGCCCACTGTCCTTTTTCCTCTCCCATTGCGCGCGGACCGCCCAGATCTTTCCTCTCTTCCGCAGCCCCTCCTCACAGCCTCTAAGGTGTAAGTCTCTGCCATAGCTTCACAACCCCTTCTCTTGGGCGCGCGTTCTCTTCTTCCTTCCCGTGCGCTCGCGGGTCACCCACCCGCTAGCCCCCTCCTTTCTACTGCGCATTTTCCTTCTCCCACTACAGCCCCGCGAGCTCTGCTCACCTAAGGTTGGGTTGTTCAGTGTTTGCGGAGTTCCTCCGACGCCATCTGGGCGCTCACTCGTTGCTTAGCGACAGGACGCGTTGCGGCCAAGGATTTAAGTTGCGTCGGGTGTGCGCCTGAAGGCGCAAGCGCAGTTTGGGAGAGTCTTTTCTACGGTTTTGGTGAGGTTCTGCGGCAGAGGTGGTTTGGACGTTTCGACCTGGGTTTGGTGTAGGTCTCCAGCGACTCCCAGGTTTCCTGAGCCCAGCGAGGGTTAGTTCATTGCCCTGGGCTCGGTAGGCTCATCTGGGGCGGTGTACCTCCTCGGCAGTGATGAGCGGCGCCCAGCCCAGTGGAGGGCGGGGGAGGTGGGGATGCTTCTGTGGACAGGGGAAAGGAGCTCGAGCTCCAGTTGCCCAACGAAATACTGGATGCTCAGTTAAACTTACATTTCAGACGTAAGAAATAACTTTTTTAATACAAGTATAATATACTAAATATTATTTGTTGTTTATCTGGAAGTCAAAATTTAACTGGGCAGTGTGGGTTTTGTTTTTGTTTTTTGTTTTTTTGTTTTTTTTGCAAAATCTGGGAACCATAATCCCAATCCCCTTCTTTTTCGTGTATCTGACCACTTTCTATCAGGCATGGGGCAAGGTACCTTTTTCTATTCTAACAACTTCTCCAGGCTTGAGGTAGCTAGTTCTGGTAAGGGGCTTTCTTATATCAGAAATAACATTCCTTAAAACAACCTTCGTGATGCCAACAAATAGGACAACCTGGATGAAATGAATAGGTTCTTAGAAACATACAGTCTTCCAAAACTAAATCAGGAAGGACCAGAGAATCTGAATAGACAGATTATACCTAGTGAAATTGAAATAATAATAATAATAATAATTTTAAAAAGGCCAGGGCCACATGGCTTCACAGGTGAATTTTACCAAAAACATTTTAAGAAGAGCTAACACCTCTTCTTCTCAAACTAGTCCAAAAATGTGAGAGAAGACTTAAAAGCTCATTTTACAAAGCAATTCTAAAGCCAGATAAAGACACTACAGAAAAAGAAAATTATAGAATAATATCTCTGATGAACATAGATGCTAAAATCCTCAACAAAATATTAGCACACTAAATGCATCAATGCATCAAAAAGGTAATACCCTCCAATATCAAGTAGGATTTACTCTAGGAATGCAAGGTTGGTATATTCACAAGTCAATAAATGTGATACACCACAAAAGGAAATGAAGGATGAAAACCACATGATCATATCAATAGATGCAGAACAAGCATTTGGTAAAATCCAGCACTATTTATGATAAAAACTCTTAGCAAAGTGGGAATAGAGGGAACATACCTAAAAATAATGCCATATATGATAAATCCACTAGCAGCATCATACTCAACGTGCAAAAATTGTAAGCACTCCCCTTAGGATACAAGGTAGGGAACAAGATAGGGATGTCTGCTTTTACCTTTCACATCCAACATAGCAGTGGAAGTCCTAGCCACAGCAATCAGACAAGAATAAGAAATAAAAGGCATCCAAATTGGAAAGGAAGAAGTAGAAGTGTCATTATTTACAGATTACATGATAACTGTATATAAAGAACCCTAAATATCCCACCAAGAAACTATTAGACCTGATAAATGATTTTAGTAAAGTAGCAGGATATAAAATTAATATCCAGAAATCAGTTTCATTTTATATGCCAGTTATGAACCATCAGAAAGAGAAATTAATAATTCCATTCACAATTGCTTGAAATAGAATGAAATTCCCAGGAATAAATTTAAGCAAGGACATAAAAAACCTGTACTTGGAAAATTGTAATACATTGAAGGGAAGAAATTGAAAAAGATGCAAGTAAGTGGCAGCACATACCATGCTCATCGATAGGAAAAATGAATATCATTAAAGTGTCCATACTACCCAAAGCAAACTCAATACAGTTCTTATCAAGTTACCAATTATGTATTTTGCAGAACTAGAACATATATTTCAAAAAATTTATATGGAACCACAAAAGACCACAAATAGCAATAGCAATCTTGAGAAAGAATAAAGTTGGAGGAATCATACTACCTAATATCAAACTCTATTATAAGGCTATGGTCATCAAAACAGAATAGTACTGTCATAAAAATAGACACATATATCAAGAACAGAATAGAGTCCAGAAATAAACCCACACCTTCATAGTAAATATTTCACAGAGGAAGAAAGCATATACAACGGCTAAAGATAGTTTATTATTTCCCAATAAATGGCATTGGGAAAATTGGGTAAGTATGTGCAGAAAAATGAAACTAGACCATCTTCTTATGTCACACACAAGAATAAACCCAAAATGGATTAAAGACTTAAATATTAGACTCAAAACCACAAATGTCCCAGAAGAAACCATATGCAGTAACAGCTCGGACAATGCTTGTAGCAACATTTTTTCTCAGATATCTCCTCAGGAGAGGGAAACAAAAATAAGATAGACAAATAGGACGACATCATACTAAAAAGTTTTCCCACAACAAAGGAAGCCATCAACAAAATAAAAAGACAATCCACAGAATGGGAGAATATATTTGCCAATACATTTAATAAGGGGTTAATATCCAAAATTTATAAAGGACTTATAAAAAAGTCAATACCAAAACAACAAACAATCCAATTAAAAAATGGGCAAAGGACCTGAATAGACACTTTGGACATACACAGAGGACATACAAGTGGCCAATAGATATATGAAAAAATGGTGAACATCACTAATTATCAGAGAAGTGAAAAAACCACAATGACATATCTCCTCACACCAGTCAGAATGGCCATCAACAATAAATCACTAAACAACAAGTGATGGCAAGGATGTAGAGATAGCAGGGCCTTTGTACACTGTTAGTGGGAATGCAGATTGGTGCATCCACTGTGCAAAGCAGTATGGAGTTAACTCAAAAAGTTAAAAATGGATCTGCCTTATGACCTAGCAATTTCACTTCTGGGACTTTATCTGAAGAAACCCAAAACATTAATTCAAAAGAATATAAGCACCCCTATCTTCATTGCAGCACTATTTACAATAGACCAATGTACTCGCACCACCATAGCATGAGAGAGAGCAGTATTGGGGTTTATGGATGAATCTCAGGAGGTCATTTTTTATAAATTAAGCAGCTTTTTGGAAGCAGCCCAAGTGTCCATCAGTAGATTAGTGGATAAAACAACTATGGGACATTTATACAATGGAATACTACTCAGTCATAAAAAAGAAGAAAATTTTACCCTTAACACAGCATGGATGCACCTGGAGAACATTATGCTTAGTGAAATAAGCCAGTCAGAGAAAAACAAATACCATATGATTTCATGCTTATCTGGAATCTAATGAGTGAATTGAACTAAGAAGCAAAATAGAGACAGACTCATAGACGGAGATCAGGCTGACAGTTCTGGTGAGGGAGTTGAAGGTTGGAGGGATCAAGCCAAAAAGAAAAAGGACTTCAGGGACACAGACAATAGTGTGGTTAGTGACGTAAAGTGTAGTATAGAGGAGGTTGGAGCATGGAGGTGAAAGAGGATATAAAGGGGATAAATGGTAATGAAAAAACTACAATACAAAACAAAATGAAAACTAAAACACAACCTTCATGAGATGGATATTATTGAGATTTCGTGGACTGCAAACACATCCAGCTAGATGATGAGCTTCAGGTGGATTCTCCCATAACATGATGCATCCATAGATCTGAGACTGACCCTCAGTGTAGCCCTACTCTTAGGCTAGAGGTTTCTCCTTTAGGGACAGTGATTCCCTTCCCATGTATTGTCTTTTTGGAGGAGCAGTAAGAATCTGTACCTTTTTAAAATTGTGGAGTAAAATAAATCTTACTCCACTTCAAATGATATCAAGATATCAATGTAGTTATTCTTGTCTTTGGAGTATACCCCATTGAAGAAGGACAGTGAAGATGCAGTGCTCTGAACTGAGTTGTAATAATTCTTCTCTCTGTGTAGTTGTCAATATCACCTTGATAAAGAATCAGTTTCATTTGTGGCAGTTTTAGTTTGAGTTTTTATGACTCCATTTGCCTACACACACATACACATTCCTTTCCCCACTGCTGTTGCTAATACAGAAGATGTCATAGTGCACACAATATTTTCCTCCTGCTTTTTTTTCACTTTACACTACGTTATAGAGATCACTCCCTATTTTAGAGATCTTTCTCATTTCCTTTTATACCTGCACAGTCACCCATTGTGTTGCTGTATCTCATCAATCCCTTAATGATGTACATTTGGATGGGGTTCCAGTTTGAGTATTCTAAGCACTGGTGCAAAATAACCATGTGCATATTCGACTTCATATTTTTGTAAGATAAGATTCTAGAAATGAGACTGAATGGTCTCAGGGTAAATACATATGTAATTTTCTAGGTATTGTCAAATTCTTCTCCACAGTAGTTACACCATTTTGTACTCTCACCACCATAGCATGAGAGAGAGCAGTATTGGGGTTTATGGATGAATCTCAGGAGGTCATTTTTTAAAAAATTAAGCATAGTTGTAACACAGTATTATATTAATTCCAGGTATATCATACAGTAATTCAACACTTATATACCTTACAATGTGATCACCACACTAAGTCTAGTAATGATCTGTCATGGTGCAAAGTTATCACAATATTATTGATTATGTTCTCTTTACCTTTTTTCATCTATTCCACTACTCCCTTCCGGCAGCCATCAGTTTTATCTTTCTTTGTATGAGTCTGTTTCTGTTTTATTTTGATTTTTAAATTCCACATGCAAGTTAAGCCATGTGGACTTAATGGACTCGTTATCTAACTAATTTGACTTAGCATAACGCCCTCTGGTCATTATTGTAAATTTTTTTTTTTGTGAAATGTTAGGTGCATTTGTCCAGGGATGGGTGTTGACACACTGACATTCTGCCCGCTACAATTGCTCATACCCAACATATAGTAGGTATTCAGTATCTGACTACCTATTATACCCAGATGGGAGGGTGGTGGGGCTTGGTGAAAAAGATGAAGGGATTAAAAAGTACAAATTGTTAGTTACAAAAGACACAGGATGTAAAGTGCAGCATAGGGAGTACAGTCAATATTTAATGACTATGTATGGTGCCAGACAGGTGCTAGAATTACCAGGGGAATCAGGAATTGGGGAAGGAGGAATTTGTTGCATTGCCTGGGTAAGCTCAGGGAATGAGAGATGATCTTTATCTTGCAGGTGAGGACATACTTTCCAAGCTGAGAGAGAGAGAGAGAGAGAGAGAGAGAGAGAGAGAGAGGCATCATCACGTTAAATTGTCACGGAGATGAAAGTGTGTAAGATGTGATCAGCAGAATGGCAGGGTGTTTAATGTATTTAGAGCCCAAGGTTTAATGTAGGCAAAAGAGTTGTCTGGTTAGCCTCAAAAGAAAATTGGGGTGAGAGTCTCAGGAGCCTCACATGCTGTTCTTTGAAGATTAATTGTTTTTTATTCTTTGTACTTAGAGACTCATGGACCTTTGTTTTTGAGGTGAACTATTGTGATGTTTTCTAAAAATGATTCCCATGACTTGGGAGTAGCATCTTAGTACAGATATTAGGGTAACAACTCTGGAATTAGGAGTTAGGTATGTGCTGCCTGTGTGATCCTGGACTGTTCACTTATGCTCTTTGTGCCTGGACTTCATCATTTGCACCATGGGGATAATGACATCTGTTTTTCAGGATTAAGTGAGACATGCATTGCTTGGCGTATACTCCTCTCATAATCAGTAATGGCAGTATTCCTTTTCTGACTCTTGGATTTGAGGGCTCTTCAAGATTTTGAAACTATTTTAGTTGTAGTGACTTCTGTGGGTCCTTTTTTGAAAACCATTAGAAGTTTGGTTTCTAAGGCCAGCTTGCTGGTACCATCCCTGATGATGTGAGGTGCCTGTGACTGGTGAAAGAATGTAATGCTTTGTTGGCCTCATTGGACTTTTGTTGTGCCTTAAATGAAAATTTCCTGCATTAATGCAAAAACATTTATCTTTTAGAAGTTAGGAGTTAGAAATGGAGTCAGCATATCTTCAAAAGCACCTTGGGACATGTCTAACTCAAGGTCTTGCAGAAGTGGCAAGAATTCGCCCAGTGGATCCAATAGAATATTTAGCATTGTGGATTTACAAATATAAGGAAAATGTGACCATGGAGGAACTGGTAAGTATGGATCTTTTAGAAATTTAGAAAAGAAAAATAATTGGTTCTATTTATCTGCTTTTTAAAAGCTCAGTATTATTATTTCTTTCTATAATAGTGTGTTTATCATACAAAATCTTAGACAACATGAAAAGTAGAAAGGAGAAAATTTACAAAGAAGACTTCTATTTAGATTTTTAGGTATTCTAATTTTTTTCTACACATTTGTGTGTGGATTTGTTTACATAATTATAATCACACTAAATGTACAACTTTAATTCTATGCTCTTTATTCAAATAAAACAAGTTTCCCCAAAGTATTATACAGTTCTCAGATGGATAGACCATATTTTGCTTAAGCTTTTCCCTTACTGTTGGTGATTAAGATGCTTTCCAAATTGTTTTTTACAAGTTGTTTTTATCTTTAATTAGTTATGTGTACTAATTAGGTACCATTTTATACAATGCTAGAGACAAAAGGAAATGGCTGAATTGGAGCGTGAAAGAGAACTAGCTCAGACGGAGCAGGAAATGATGGAGAGGCTGAAAGCAGAGGAGCTTATCTTCCAACAGGTGAGACGAGTAACAATAAAGTTCAGACGTGACTGAAATTAACAGTATCAACCTGGGTGTGGGGCAACACAAATGTTGAAAAACTCCCGTGTCTGGTTATTCATATGGTTTTCCTATATCTTCATCTTGATGTATATGTCATCTTTGCTGGGGCAGCAGCAGCAGTGAGGTAGAAGGAAAACCCAGAGAGAGCTCCCATGCAAGCCAGGGGGAGAGACTGTCTTAGTGAGACCTCCGTGGCCAACCATGTATAGGCTGGTTGAGTGAGAGCAGACTGCGAAGTGCTCATTCAAGGCCACTAGTCGTGACTTTGGTGGGAGCAGTGTGGATGGGGTGGAGTATAGCAAGGGAGATGGTGAATACAGGTAATACTTTCAAGCAGATTTTTAAGGAAGGAGTTTTTTTAGTTTTCATTTTTTGCAACATAGGGGAGTGATTGATGTTAATAAGTAGAGGGGATGATTTCTAGACTCAGCTTTCCATGGAGAAGAAAAGGAAATTGAGTCTGTAACCTAGGTTATGTAGATAGAAGGGCACTTCTTTTATTCCTTGAGTCATGGAAAGAGGAGAGTATGGCATAGGTACATCTGGGTATACAGGATTTGTGGCACAAAGTTGAAAGTAGTTTCTGTGTGACTATTCTTTACCAAGTAGGGACCATGATCATTTTTTAAAAATGAGGTGGTAGCCCTGGCTGGTGTGGCTCAGTGGATTAAGGGCTGGCCTGCAAACCAAAGGGTTATAGATTTGATTCTCTATCTATAGATAGATAGATAGATAGATAGATAGATAGATAGATAGATAGATAGAGGTTGTGGGCCAGGTCCTCAGTGGGGAGCATGTGGGAGGCAACTACAAATTGATGCTTCTCTTCCTCTCTTTCTTCCTCCTTTCCTTCTGTCTAAAAATAAATAAACAAAATATTTTTTAAAAAGAATGAAGTGGTAAAGTAGGAAGTGTGGGGGAATGGTGAAGGGTTTGAAATAATGGCTTCAGACAATGGCAGAGACTTGACTGAGGAAACTTAGCATTACTTTGTAGCATTGAGCATGAGTACCCTGATATAGTTGGAAGATCAAGCATTTATAAAGTTTCCATCTGATTTGGTTTAGTGATTATGTGATTTTCTGCACTTAGACCTGGATATCTGAGTGCACATGTGGCAGATGCAGACCCTTTGACTGAAGTAGGTCTAGAGTAGCAGTACTGAAGAAATGAAAATGTTGGGAAGAGGAGACTTCTGCCAAGATGGAGGCATAGGTGGAAACACTGTGCCTTCTTGCATAACCAAGTTTAAAGACGACAAAGTTTTAGTAACAAAAACACAGCCAAAACACAGAAAATTGAACTATACGGAAGTCCGACAACAACAAACCATTCAGCCAGACTGGAAAGAGGAGCTGAGCCACCAGTGGAGCAGGGTTGGGCAGGAAAGATCCCCGGATCCAGGCAAGCAGGCAGCCATGGGCGAATCCCAGGTGTGGGGTAGCAACAGGCGGACCTAATGAGGGCGTAAGGTGGCTGACTGACCTTGGTCACACATTTACGTGCAGATAAACCAGCGAAGGAGTAAGCAGTGAGACAGACGTGCAGGCCCCAGCAGTGGGAAGCAGCAAAGGGAACCGCCATTGTCCCTCTCTGACCCCACCCCCACATACAGCATCACAACCCAGACACTGAGTTGCTCCACCCTGGCGAACACCTAAGGCTCCACCCCCCATACATAACTGGTGCCAACAGACCAAAACATGGCTCAAGAAGAACTCAGAGCCCCAGAGCTGATAACTCTAAGCAACCAAGAAATTGCCAAACTTTCAGATGCACAGTTCAAAGCACTGGTGATCAGGATGCTCACAGAACTGGCTGATTTTAGTCACAAATTAGAGGAACAAATGAAGTCTAAACTAATTGAAGTGAAGGGAAATACACAGGAAACCAATAGTGATAGAAAGGAAACTGAGACTCAAATCAAGAGAGTGGACCGGAAGGAAGAAAAAAATGACCAAATAGAAAAGGATGAAGAAACAAGAATTCAAAAAAAAAATGAGGAGAGGCTTAAGAACTTCCAGGACATCTTCAAACACTCCAACATCTGAATTATAGGGGTACCAGAAGGGGAAGAGAAAGAGCGAGTGGAAAACTTGTTTGAACAAATAATAAAGGAGAATTTTCCCCAATCTGCCAAAGGAAATAGACTTCCAGGAAATCCAGGAAGCTCAGAGAGTACCAAACAAGTTGGACCCAAGAAGAAACATACCAAGGCACATCATAATTACATTAGCCAAGATTAAAATGAAGGAGAGAATCCTAGAAGCAGCAAGAGATAAGGGGACAGTCACCTACAAAGTAGTTCCCATCAGACTGTCAGCTGATTTCTCAAAAGAGACCTTACAGGCAAGAAGGGGCTGGAAAGAAGTATTCCAAGTCATAAAAACCAAAGATCTACAACCAAGATTGATCTATCCAGCAAAGCTTTCATTTAGAGTGGAAGGACAGATAAAGTGCTTCTCAGATAAGATCAAATTCTAGGAGTTCATCATCACCAAGCCCTTATTATATGAAATGTTAAAGGGACTTATCTAAGAAAAAGAAGTTAAAAAAAGATGAACAGTGAAAGGACAGCAAACTCACAGTTATTAACAACCACACCTAAAACAAAAGCAAACTAAAAGGACAGCTAGATCAGGAGTGAATCATAGAAACGAAGATCACATGGAGGGTTAGCAACAGGGGAGTGAGAGGAGGAGAAGGTACAGAAAATAAGTAGTATAGACAGTGGGCAGAAAATAGATAGGGGAGAGGGCAAGAATAGTAGGGGAAATACAGAATCTAAAGAACTTGAGACATGTGGTCATAAACTAAAGGGGGAATAGTGGGGGAGGGGGTGTACAGAGTGGAGAGGAATGAAGGAGGGGAGTAGAACAGCTGTAATGGCATAATCAATAAAATATATTAAAAATAAATAAATAAATATTGGTATGAGGATAATAACTATTAAGCAATAGTGCGATAACTATTTAATATGGAAAGTAAAAAGGGAACGCGTTTTTATTTACTGTATAATTGTGTATACTTATATATATACACACATAGAGCATAAGACAATAAAATATACCAAAATGTTAAAAAAAAGAAAAAGAAAAGAAAATGTTGGGAAGAGAATAGGTGGATGAATGGGTCATGGATTATTAACTATATAGGGGAAAGTTCCAGAGTGGCTTCTGGACTAATTTAATTTGTGGGGATATTCTCAACTAAATTTAAATCATCCCTATAGTTCTACCATATAGTACTTTAAACTCTAGAGTTTCAACTTGAGTTTTTATATTTAAAAAAGGGAAAGCCAGTTATTTAATGCATCGATAAGAAGTTAAATATAGATATGGAAAATAGCTTTTTATCTAATTTCCCATTCTTTTTTAAAATATATTTTATTGATTATGATATTACAGTTGTCCAGTTTTTTCATCCCTTTTATTCCCCTTTGCCCTGCACCCCTCTTCCCACCACATTCCCCTGCCCTCTTAGTTCATGACCATGGGTCATACATATATGTTCTTCGGCTTCTCCATTTCCTTGAGATCATGAGACTGACATGCTACCTACTGTGCTAATGAAGCACCTTCCATTTCCTATACTATTCTTAACCTTCCCCTGTCTGTTTTGTACTTACCATTTATGCTTCTTATTTCTTGTACCTTCAGCCCCTCCACCAACCACTCTTGGATAACCCTCCATGTGACCTCCATTTCTGTGATTCTGTTCCTGTTCTAGTTGTTTGCTTTGTTTGTTTTTGTTATTAGGTTCACTTGTTGATAGTTGTGAGTTTGTTGTCATTTTACTGTTCATGTTTTTGATCTTTTCCTTAGATATGTCCCTTTAGCATGTCATATAATAAGGGCTTGATGATGATGAACTCCTTTAACTTGACCTTATGTAGGGAGCACTTTATCTGCCTTTCCATTCCAAATGATAGCTTTGATGAATAGAATAATCTTGGATGTAGGTCCTTGCTTTTCATGACTTGGGATACTTCTTTCCAGCTCCTTCTTTCTTATAAGCTTTCTTGTGAGAAATCAGCTGATATAGTCTTATGGGCACTCCTTTGTAGGTAACTGTCCCCTTATCTCTTGCTGCTTTTCAGATTCTCTCCTTATCTTTAATCTTGGGTAACTTAATTATGATGTGCCTTGGTGTGTGCTTCCTTGGATCCAACTTCTTTGGGACTCTCTGAGCTTCCTGGACTTCCTGGAAGTCTATTGCCTTTGGCAGATTGGGGGAAGTTCTCCTTTATTATTTGTTCAAGTAAGTTTTCAATTTCTTGCTCTTTCTCTTGTCCTTCTGGCACCCCTGTGATTCAGGTGTTGAAATGTTTAAAGTTTTCCCAGAGGTTCCTAAGCCTCTCCTCATTTTTTTTCATTCTTGTTTCTTCATTCTGTTCTGATTGAATGTTATTTCTGCTTTTTGTTCCAAATCATTGATATGAGTCCTGGTTTCCTGCTCTCCACTATTTGTTCTCTGTATATTTTCATTTATTTCACTTTGCATAGCCTTCATTTTTTCCTCTATTTTGTGACCATGCTCAACCAATTCTCTGAACATCCTGATTACCAGTGTTTTGAACTCTGCATCTGAAGGGTTGGCTATCTCTTCATTGCTTAGCTCTATTTTTGGAACTTTGATGTGTTCTTTCATTTGGGCTATATTTCTTTGTCTCAGCACACATGTTACATTGTAAGGGGCAGAGTCTTAGGTATTCAACAGGGTGGCACAACCCACTTTGCTGCATTGAGGTGCTGTATGTGGGGGAGGAGTCAGAGAAAGAACAATGCACTTTCTTGGCTCTCGCCCCACTTTCAGTCACTCCATTACCTGCAAGCAAATTGGGCCCTTCTGGTGCTGATTCCTGAGTAGGTGAGTTTGTGTACATTCTAGGACTCAGTGGATCTCTCCAATGAACTGTCCTGTGATGCTGAAAGTTCCTCCTGCTGCTGCAACTCCCACAGGATTTTACAGACAGAGGTTTTGAGGCTTTCTTTTCTTGCACTGTAATTCTGGGTGGTGTGGTCTCTCTGGCTCCCCAGTTGTTTCTCCCAGTATATCCACAGGCAAATGTGGAATCACACAGTGCACCAGCTGCTGTCTTGCCCACCCAGTCCTCTAACTGCTGCCTTGCAATGTCCTCTCTTCCCCAGCTGCTGCTCTCTGCCCCTATTACCAGTCTGGATGATTGTTTCTTCTTTAACTTCTTGGTTGTCAGTCTTCTATACAGTTTCATTTTGTAGGAGTTCTAGTTGGCTTTCATTTTTAAATTTATTGTTGTTCTTCTTTTGGTTGTGCAAGGTAGCAAAGTGTATCTATCTACACTTTCATCTTATCCAGAAGTCTCTAATTTCCCATTTTCTGTACTGGGTAGAACATTTTGGGCAGCTTAGGATCGACATGGTTGTTGAAAACTTTGCTATTTCTTAGTCTTCACTTTTTAATCATTTGGCTTATTCTTCTGGGGAAGTTGCAAAGCATTGGGTTGCGCATCAAATAATCATCCAAATAGGCAAGTGTCTGATGGAGTGGCCCCAACATTGAGTGAGGATATGCCCTTCCTCTTAGCAGATCCTTTGGCTTCTGTCTGTTTTGCATCTAACATAATAAGGAAAACTTCCCAGCAGTTCTCCTTCCCCAAGAGAAATTATACCATTAATGTGGAGATACTTAACTTTCACTCATCTACTTTATCTTACTTAGATAAAATTTGTCAGTACTAGAAATGTAACATTTCTCTAGCTGAAGCACACTGACTATTATAAAGCAATTCACTGTGCATCGAACCCTAAGCATTGTATCAGGAGTGAAAGATATAAAGATATTCTGCAAAAGATTTCATGGCCAGTTAAGTGGGTTGGTGGGCAGATACAAATAAGAGTAGGAGAAGGGACATGTGGAGAGATGGACCAGCAGAGAAAAGCTTAAGAGAGTGAGGCTGAAATGAAGAGAAACAGAGAGATCTCTACATTCCACCTTAATCAAGTGAGCTGGTAATTCAGGACTCTGATCACCTACTTGTTGATTGCAAAGGCAGGTGTTCTCGTAATAATAATAATACTGACTTGAAATTCCTTAAAAATTAGGTACTCTCCAACAAGTCCAAGTCCTCATGAACAGGATAGTATTTTTATTGTTGAATAGCTTATTTTGGAAATACAAGCTTTAAAAAATTCATTTGAATATCTTTCTAATGATTTTACTTTCCTTGTGTGAAGGAAGGAATTGGGTGTTGAAATTTTTCTGAAATGTTAAGAAACTATTTATGTTGACCAGTATGATTGATATTTAAGAACTGTATTTTGCATTATTTTTGAGAGATTAGAGTTATTTAACCTCCTCTATCAATGTCTGGAAATTGATTGAATGATATGTTCCTGTATGTCAGCTACATTTCTTAATATAGGAATGCAAAGAAATTACTCTTAATAGCTTTTTATGAATGTATTAACCATTGTTTATTATTTCTATTTGTTAAAATGTATTATTTTATAAAATGCATTTTAAAAATGTAGTTTTAGCCCTGGCTAGGTGGCTCAGTTCATTGGAGCATTATCCTGTTCATAAAAGGGTTGTGGGTTCAATCCCTGGTCAGAACACATGCCTGGGTTGCAGGTTAGATCCCACATTGGGATGCCTGTGGGAGGTGGTCAATTGATGTTTCTCTCTCATGTTGATGTTTTTTTCCCTCTCTCTTTCTCCCTTCCTGTCTCTCTAAACTCAATAAAACATGTAGTGTGATTTTTTTTAATGTCAAAGAAATTTATAGTTTTAAAATGCTCTTAATGGGATTAGCTTATTAGCATGTTTATGAGGTAGTGCTGGATTGATGGTGAGAAATTAGTTTCTGGCTTAGGGGCTGGCAAATGCTTTCCTCAAAGGTAGATATTCTAATGGCAAAATTGAGGATAGGTGTTATGGTGTATTATGTAGCTATAGCAAGAGAGGAAACAAATTTTCACAAATGTTTTATTGGTGAAATAAATAATATTTCAATAGATTTTTTGCAATATAGCTTACTACTGAGAAGAATTAAATTCTTGTTAAAAAGATAACACTTCACTTAGTTGGAGTTCAAAGTTAGTGTTCCCTATCACCAAAATTGATAGAAAATGTTTGTTTATTAGTGCTGACCTGAAATGAGGTTTTATGTATTTATCTTTGAAAGTATCTGTTCACATAAAGGTCCTACCAAATATTAATATCAGTCCATGTGCATATAACTTTGAGCATATTTATCTGTTGGAAGGTATTTGTAGAATTCTGTTAGATTTTTTCTTGATATTTGCCTTTAGCATGCCATTGCCTTGTTTATTAATCACTTCCAGTTGAAGTTTGGTACAAGCTTCTCAACTACACAGTTAAATGGATTTTGATATATGGAAATTTTCTTTTTACTTATATTATGGCCTAACAACACTCTAAAAGTACAATCTGAGCTTGGAAAATATACTTGCTGCAAATTTGTGTGGGAATGGTAACCTAGCTTATCATTCTAGTTTTAACAGCACTGGGAATATATAAAGCAGTATGGCATTGTGATTCAAACATTAATTGTTGAAATGATTTTTCTGCAATGTAAGTTTTATATGCAAATGCTGTTTTGCCTTGTAATTTTAGGTTGAATTAATTAGAAAACATTATTAAGCCTACAGCAAAAAGCTAATTTCCAGAGCCATTTAATATTTGATAATCGTGGTTGAGAATAATTCTCATTTGGAAAAATTTCAGTCTTGACCCCGAGCTCAAAAATTCACAACAAAACATTACCATCGTTAAGCCATGAAACTGCCATGTGGTAGGGAAAGTCAAGATTTATTCAACTCCTAATGTTGACAAAAACCCGCAGGACTGATGACGTTTCAGTTCATAAGAGTGAATGAAGGACACTATTGGCACTACTGGCTCAATGCACACACAGATTTTCTTCAGAGTAGCTACTACTGAATAATAGTACAATGAATTCTCATACGCTTTAAACACTGGATTTTCACAAGCTTTATTAACTTGTCCAACTAAGCCTTTTACTGTTCCATGCATGTTTTTATCATCATTTGTTGAAACACATCTTGGCAGATTTTACTTTTTGATGAACTGAATTAATGTTTCTCAACTTTTTTGAAATATTATTGCTTGTAGTTGTCCCATGAAGATATCATAGAGGTTGATTCTTCAATCACTCTCACTTTCAGTCACTTCAAATTCAGCACTGACTCCTTGAATAAACAACAACTGAGCAGTGTTGGGAACATTTGTCCACTCATCAAGAGCTAAAGAAAACCACTCAGAGTTATTTGCCTTGTATTTATGTACTATTGATGTTTCTCCCAATGTCATCAACTCTGTGAGCAACTTTTCTTATCCTAAGGCTAAAAATGTTAAAAAGCTAGTTTTTTTCCTGGACACTGAAATCAAATGTGTTTTAATTAAATCACATTAGGAAAATGTGTTTCTTTTCTTGACTTACAAATGAGCCACTGGGAAACTTACTTTTGTTGTAACTTCATTTTAATTTTTGTGAAGAAGTTCTGTTGTGACGAAAAAATTGTTTTAACTTTTAAGATATTTCTGACATTTTTTTTTATGCAACTTGATAATATTGTAATGAGTGCTTAATCTGGTGATATTGATACTATTGTATTGTTTTAGTACAGTTTGCACTGCTTTAAAAAGCACCATACTTTGTCATTTAATTTGATAATTAAACAATCCACTCTCCAGTCTGTCTTAAAGGGGAACATTCGAATCCATTTCCTGTTCATATAGTACATGATAGGTATACACTTATTAAAAATAAGTATTGCAGTATAGTGTTACTGTAGCACTGCAAAACTGTCAAATTATAATGGTGTCACTGTGATTCCTTGTGTGCTGAGCAGGGATACAGAGTGAAGAGAGCACCACCTGTGGTCTGTGTTGTAACTACTCAACTGTGGTATTGTAGGGCAAAAGCAGCAAAGGAATGACCATACAGTGTTTCAATAAAACTTTATTTATAGACACTGAAATTTGAATTTTGCATAATAATTTTTATTATTATCTTTTATATTTTTCCACCCTTAGAAAAATTTTAAATCATTCTTAGCTTGAACGCTGTACAAAAACAGGAGTGGGTCAGATTCAGCCCACAGAATTTAGTATGGTATATATGTTGAGTTGGGACCAAATACATTGTTGATTATGAATGATTTCAGAAAATATACTTAGGATTTTCTCATTCGCTCTCTGTAACCAAGTTTTGGTTGTTTGAAGACCCATCCATCTGTACTTAATGAGTTTTTATCTGAAAAAAATTACTGTAATCTCATTTGTTGCTTCTAAAAGAACAGAGAAGATGACTTGATTTTGTACAAACTGCTTTCCTATAATTTGCAATGAAGGAAGCTTTCCTTTTAATTTTATATTTCAGGAAATATTTATAAAACCTAAAGTATTAGATTTTGCATACTGATCACTTATTTTTGTAAGTTTCTGAAATTTAGGTAGGTGTAGAGTTAATTATCCTGGGACATTTCTGAGTAGTAAAGGAAATTTCTTGCCATTGATTTGACTCTAACATGACTTTTTTTTTTTTTTTGAATATTCAGCAACAGCTGGACTTCCAGCTGGAGTTGGAAATGCAAGAAAAAGAGAGACAGAGAATGGAGGAAATACAGAGAGCCCAAGAACAATCAGAGAAGGTAATTTGAAGTTTTGTAAATGTTTGTTTTATTTAAAACCTCTCAGGATTCTCAACCTGTTTTTTCCAGATGTTATCATGGGATTCATAGTCTAAAGACCTGCCGCACATTAGCTGTGTGACTCAGACAAGTTTTATAACTTTTTTAGTCTGTTTACATTTTTGAAAAATAGAGATAACAGTATAATATTATTAGCAATAGCTCACTGAATGATTTTAAGGATCAAGTAACATCATGTGTTTAAAACTGCTCTGTGAGCAGTTTTATAATAGTGATATTAATAGTTCTCTAATAGTGATATTATCAACATTTTAATTAAGAGATAGATGTTTCTAATTATGTTGGTTGATGTTTTTTCTAATTAGGGTAGTTGATATTGAAGGTTAAGTTCTTTGTAATAATCAGGGCATTCTGATCTCTGACACAGTAGTGCATCTCTTTTCTTCATGTTTGATGTATTAGCAACAATAATTTACATTTAAAATATGCCAGTATGGATTTTGCATGTCTTTTATTAAATAATCTATGCAGTAACTTAAATCAAAAAGTCTACCTTCATTTACTGTCTGCATGATATGTCAACCCTCTAGTTTGACCAATGTTTCTTGTTATCCCCAAAGTATGTGTCATATAGACTGAACTTCTGAATGACTGAGCTATACTTTTCAGCTGAGTATTTCATATTGCATGTGTATAGCTAGCATCTGTTATGTGTTATCCTTCTATTATATAATTAAACAAAAACAGAAGCAAATTTTATAGAATATGTTTATTAACAGCTTAGATGAGAGCTTCGTTATTTAAAACAATTTTTTAAAACTTGTAAGGGTAAACTGAATTTAAAAAGATGTACTTTAAAAGGATAAATTCAAAGCTTTATAAATGGTTTTAAAATATACAGATGCTGATGCTGTCTTAGTCTGAGTATAGTAGGGCACACAGATATACATGCCTGCACACACATATAAATACAAATACATACCCTTTTTCCATTCAGTTAAGATTCCATGATTTTAAATGAAAGGAGAAAAAACAGAATATCAAGAAGACAATGATTAAAATGATAAAATAATTGAAAGTATTTTTTATTGAGATACCTTGATTTCTATTGTCAACAATGGTTGTTTACACTATATTCAATACCATCAAGGACCCCCAATTTGGGGTGAGGTGAAGAAGGAAACTTTATTCAGTGCAAAACAGCTCAGTTGTGATTAGCAAGGCTGTGAAAACAGCACACTGTGGAACAGCTCCAAGGCCAAGCAGTCCTGGGGTCTGGCCCCTCTCCTGCTAGACAGCTCTGCTCTGCTCTGGTCTGCTCCACTCCATGCCAGTTTGCTTTGTGCTGCTGGTCTGCTCTGCTTTGTGACGGCATGCTTCTACTCTGCTATGGTTAAGATATATTTGGTGGTTCAGCTCAGTCAGGGATGATACACAGTCTTCATTCTTCTCTGGAGAGGGAAAATGCACTCTCTGAGCTAGGCAGGGAGCCGGTTTATATGGGCAGAAGTCCCCGATTGGTCCATCCTTGTGCAAATGAGGACTCCAAAATCCCAGTTTAGTCCAAAAGGCACTGTCCTGATTGGTCACTCCTGATTGGAACTGCACTACTCCAGTGGGATGGGGAAAGCCTCACTCTGGCTGGTTGAAATAAGATTCTAGGAACTTCTTTATAAGGGCTGGCTCAGATAGTAGAAACATAGTGCAGGCAGGCAGTTCAGTAATGGCTTCTCTGTGGAGTGCAGTTTGCATGAGAAACCCATGTGCAGAAATGGCTGCTAGGCTCTGTTTTTAAACATTTGAGCCCAGTGGTAGTAGATTTCTTTTTTTTCCCCTCTAGGTTCACACTATATTTGAATGTTTGAAATTCTGTGACTTATAGGAGAGATTGGATTGTTTTGTAGCTCATTATTTACTCTGCATGAATCATTAGACCTTGTGACCAGAACCACAAAAACTTCAATAAGTCCATATTTCTAGTGGTTTATCACTCCTCACCTCTCTCCTGCAAAGTATGCCTGCCTTACCTATTGCTCAAAGATGGGTCCATTTATGTCTTTTCACTCTGGCTTCTTGGTGGCTTCAGAGATACAATTTAAACTATCATTTGCAAAAGGAAATTTATTGGAAGGATCTTGTGTTGAAGAAAGGGTTTTACAACTGAACCGTGAAGGGCTCTGGTACAATTGGGAGGATGAAAATCAAACGTTACCTGGGTTCTCAACTCTGATATTCTCTGGTCCTTAGTTTCAGTATTTCTCACAATGACCTGGTTTCCTGCACATGGTGAAAGACATAGTCCTTGAAGGCTCTTGGGTTTCACAATGTTGTGGCTCCTACCATCTGAGAAGAGTAGATTCCTTTTTTTTTTCTTCTTAGGGAAGGATTCTGACTGGCTTAATTTGTGTCAGGTATTCATCCATTGGCTGGGGAACAAGGTCCTATGAGAACATGGACCCCTGCCACTATAGCTATGTGGTGGTGTGGGCTAAGATGTTACAGGAGAATAGAATGGCCTTGAGAAATATACCACGTGTTCACCAATGAGAGGACTTCCGCGAAGATGGAGGTGTAGGTGGAAGCACTGAGCCTTCTCACACAACCAAGTTTAAAAACAACAAAGTTTTAGCAACAAAAATGCAGTCAAACCACAGAAAATTGAACCACACAGAAGTCTGACAACAATGAACCCTTCAGCCAAACCGGTAAGAGGGGCAGAGCTAGCAGCAGAGCGGAGTCGGGCAGGAAACATCCACCAGACCCACCTGGGCACGCAACCCAGGAGCATAACCCAGGTGCACCAGCATCCATGGGCGGATCCCAGGTGTGGAGTAGCGGGTGGACCCACTGAGGGCGCAAGGCAGTGGACTCACCGAGGGCTGACCACAGTCACACATTCGAGCATAGATAAACCAGTGAAGGAGCGAAGCAGTGAGACAGACCGTGCAGGCCCCAGTGGTGGAAAGTGGCAGAGGGGACCGCCATTGTCCCTCTCTGACCCTGCCCCCACATACAGCGTCACAAACCAGCGACCTGGCTGGCCCCGCCCTGGTGAACACCTCCTCATATGTAACAGGCATGAACAAATTAAAACATGGCTCAAGAACAACTCAGAGCCCCAGAGCTGATAAATCTAAGCGATGAAGAAATGGCCAAACTTTCAGATGCACAGTTCAAAACACTGGTGATCAGGATGCTCACAGAACTGGTTGATTATAGTCACAAATTAGAGGAACATATGAAGGCTAAACTAATTGCAATGAATGGAAATGCACAGGAAACCAATTGTAATGGAAAGGAAACTGGGACTCAAATCAAAGGAGTGGACCAGAAAGAGGAAAAAAATGACCAAACAGAAAAGGATGAAGAAACAAAAATTCAAAAAAATGAGGAGAGGCTTAGGAACATTCAGGACATCTTTAAACGTTCCAACATCCAAATTATAGGGGTACCAGAAGGGGGAAAGGCACAGCCACCAGTGGAAAACTTATTTGAACAAATAATAAAGGAGAATTTCCCCCAATCTGGCAAAGGAAATAGACTTCCAGGAAATCCAGGAAGCTCAGAGAGTCCCAAAGAAGTTGGACCCAAGAAGAAACACACCAAGGCACATCATCATTATATTAGCCAAGATTAAAATGAAGGAGAGAATCCTAGAAGCAGCAAGAGATAAGGGGACAGTCACCTACAAAGGAGTTCCTGCATCAGACTGTCAGCTGATTTCTCAAAAGAGACCTTACAGGCAAGAAGGGGCTGGAAAGAGGTATTCCAAGTCGTGAAATCCAAAGACCTACAACCAAGATTACTCTATCCAGCAAAACTTTCATTTAGAATGGAAGGACAGATAAAGTGCTTCTCAGATAAGATCAAATTCTAGGAGTTCATCATCACCAAGCCCTTATTATATGAAATGTTAAAGGGACTTATCTAAGAAAAAGAAGATAAAAAAGATGAATAGTGAAAGGACAGCAAACTCACAGACATTAAGAACCACACCTAAAAGAAAAGCAAACTAAGAGGACAGCTAGATCAGGAGTGAACCATAGAAGTGAAGATGTCAAGGAGGGTTAGCAACAGGGGAGTGGGAGAAGGAGAAGGGGGGAGAAGGAACAGAAAATAAGTAGCATAGACGGTAGGTAGAAAATAGATAGGGAGAGGGCAGGAATAGTATGGGAAATATAGAATCTAAAAAACTTGAGACACGTGGTCATAAACAAAGGGGGGAATAGTGGGGAAGGGGGGCAAGGTGGAGGGGAATGAAGGGCGGAAATAGAACTGTAATGGCATAATCAATAAAATATATTTTAAAAAAGAAATATACCACATGTATTCCTATGATTATGGTGACCACATACATGTTCAAGAGATCACTAATCTTTAAACAGCCAAAATGAATCAGCTCAAGATTATTTAGCTCATCTTGCCGCCTTAAAATGAAAAGATAGAGGCCACAGCAAGACTTTGTTGTTTGGAAGAACATTTTCACATTAAGAACAAGGCCTCCCAGGTGCTCAGAATACTACAGAGGGCATTGCTCAGCTACCATGGGAGGATTCATGCACTTGATAGTGACTGGGGCCAGGTTAATTTCTTCAGAAATATTTACCTCTTTCTAACTATGTGTACAATTCTATTTAACTGGAAGTTCTCTCCGAATCCCTTATTCTAAGAGTTTATTAAAAAGTTTGTTTTGTCACTTTTTATACTTGCTAATATTTGGCTTCAGCTTTGATGTTTCAGTCTATTCCATTTTTTAAAAATTATATTCAGTTGTAAACAAAACATGATTGTCTTCTATTAGTATAGAGTATTAAAGAAGACTGAATGGCAGTTTTATATTAATCATATTAAAATAACTCCTTTAAGAGTGCTAACATTTCCACTGTTAAATTTATCATAGGTTTATGTAAAAATAAAAATGTTTGAAAATTAAATGTAGTCAAAATGAAAAGTGTATTCAAAATATTTTTCTTTGCTTATGTATTACAGGAGATGAAAATGAAGATGGAAAATATAGCTAGAGGTGAAGATACTTCATCCCCAAAGGTGAGAAGAAAAATTTATTCTATTTTAAGCTTTATTATGATACATTAGTAACTAAATCTTTTTAAAGATTTTATTTATTTATTTTTACAGAGAGGGGAAGGGAGGAAGAAAGAGGGGAAAAGAAACATCAGTGTGTGGTTGCCTCTCATGAGCCCCCTGTTGGGGACCTGGCCTACAACCCAGGCATGTGCCCTGACTGGGAATTGAACTGGTGACCCTTCAGTGCACACGCCGGCACTCAATCCACTAAGCCACACTATCCAAGGCAGTAGCTAAATTTTTAATCAGGAGATTATCAAAACTGATATGCCAAACATATAGTCTAGTAATGTCAAGCCACAAATATGATGTTTTAAATTTTAAAGCAAAACCTCAAACTGGATAAAAATTGGACATTTGGTTTCTGTTTGCAGTTCTAAAAACAAGAATTTTATGAGATATTGACATATACTTACTTACAATGATATATTTTATATTTCTGAATGTATTTTTATGCAAGTTTTAGAATTTATTCCTAGACTTCTCTTATCATCAACACACATTGATTCATTCCATTAATTAACAAGGCTGAACTTTGATGTAATTTAGAAATTTCTTATCAAAATTGAAAGAAAATCAGTGTATAAATTTTGAAGTCATTTAAAAGTCGTAATGGGGGGATGGGACAACTGTAATAGCACAATCAGTAAAATATATTGAAAAAAAAAGAAAAAGTCAAAATGAATTTTATGACTGTAGGGTACAGCAGCAGAATCAAACAAGACACTAGCTGAAATTAGTGACCGATACGGGGCACCTCACTTGAGCACAGTGGAAGAACTTGATGAACCAGTGCTCTCTGATGTAAGTATCTTTAAGAGACTGTTTTGTAAAAACCAGATTTTCTCTTTTTGCTTTGGAAAAGCCTTGTGCATATGAGGCCAGAGCTGGTTGGTAGATGGGTCTTTCACTCCATATAAAGAAAACCAGTTCCCTAATAAGGGTGTTCCACATCCCTGCTTGGCCCTCTGCCCTTTTCTGAACATGTGCAGCTGGCCACAGGTGAGGATGGGCACATGTCTGGCTCCTTCCAAATGGGTCAGCACTGATAGCACAGTAGTTGGAAGTTTGCATTGAGGTAGCAGTGTGCCATCTTGTGCAGAGGGCGATATATGTCTTTTGTAGTTAGGTTTTGAAATTTTCAAAGTATGTATTTAAAGTAATTTGGTGAAATACATGATCTTTAAATTTGGGATTCCAATATTTTGGTTATCAGTAGCAAACCCTGGAACCAAATAAGTATCTCGATGAAAGTACATGCTTTTACAGTAGTATATAAATTTTTTCATTTAAGAAATACACAGTGCTTTCTACATACCAACAACTGTGCCTGAGGCTGTTGTGAATAAGACCTTGTTTTTTACCTTGTTTAGGGGAGAAACAGACAACTGAGTAGAGATTAATAGTCATTGGTAGAATGACCAGGTAATTTATTGTCCAAGTTAGTATGCTTTGAGAGTGAAAGGAGGAGTGTTGGTAATGAAGCAGATCAGCAGGTATAAACGGGGACTGTCCTGGCAGGCGGATACATTTAGTCACCTTAATCCATGTGTGCTGAAAAGTGGGACAGCAGCCTAGTTGAGGAACCTTGGTCAGGGAAGGCTTCCTGAAGGAAGTCAGTCATTTGCCACTCAGTGGTGGGGTGGGGCCTAAGCACAACAAGTGTGAAGACCCAGCAAGCAAAGATGATAGAGAGTGTGAAGCAGGGAGGGAGGAGAGAAGCAAGGGGAGAAGGCTGATCCATGAAAGGACTTCTAAACTATGCTTAGATTATTAGATTTTTATCCTAAAGGTCAATATGATTAGACTTCATTTTTAAAAGACCGTCTGGCTACAGCATATGAAAGAGAATGGAGTGACAGCATATAACAGAGAATGGAGTGAAGAGAAGAAGTTTATGAAACTTGTAGTTACCCAGGCAGAGCTGACATTGATGGTTGGCATTAGCAAATGGTATTTTTGAAAGCTTTTCAGAAGGTGGAGCTGGAAGAACTAGGTGATAATCAGTCAGTAGGGAAACTTTTATTAAATGTTTTGGTACTATGCAGGGTGCTAGAAAACATCAGTGAACAAAACAGGTTGGGTTTCTGCCCTTTGGGGGCCATAGGCCATTGGAGAAGGTGCTGAGAGGACAGGTCAGGGAAACATGACCCAGCCTGGACATACCTCCTCGAGGAATTGATTTTAAGGAATCAGCTGAGATAAACCCAGAGGATGGAGACAGGAAGATGCTTTCAAGGAACTGACATAGTACAGTGTTGTGGCTGGGGTGCGGGAAGCTAGGAGGGTGGTGTGGAGCTGGAGAAATGCATAAAGGTTCTCTTGTCAGATCAGAGATTTTGGACTTAAGTGCAATGGGACTTGATGAAAGGGTTTAAGGATTACATGTGTGTGCTTAGAGAGCGGAGAGGGGATTTAAGTGGTCAGGAGTGCAAACAGGAACCATTTAGGAGGTTATTACAGTCATCCATATGCAAAATTACCAGGGTGCAAACATCAGAGATGAGTAGAACTGAGTAGATTTGATATTGGCTGAGAGAATAAAAAAGAGAAAGAAATCAGGGATGATGCCCAGATTTCTGCCTTGGGCAGCTGGACTCTACATTTTTGAGCTTCACCATTTGTTCAGTTTAGGAACAAAAGAACAGAAAGTAGGTTTTGTGAAAATGATGGCTTCAGTTGTGGACACATTGAATTTCAGGTGACTCTGAGATATACAGGTGAAAATAGCCAAAGGCCAGTTGATGTGCAACACAGGTCTGGGGGACAGGAGAGAGGTCCAGGCAGGAGATAGGAATTCAGCAGTCATAGGCTAAGTGAAGCTAAGAGATTGAGTAAGGCATCTAGAAGAGCATGCGGAATAAAGGATCTGGCTCTGAGTGGAACTATTAGAAATTCCAGCACTTAAGGGGTGGCTGCAGGAAGATTCCTGCAGGAAGGATAAGGATATCAATAGAGGATAGCAAGAGAAGTAGAAGAGAGGGTGGGTTATAAATACATCAAGGATACAGTTATATTAAATTTGGGTTTTATTTTAAATCATGAAAAAGCTTCATTTACATAGTCACATAGAAATTTCCTAACTCTATTTTCTTTGGCTTGTACACTTTCACAGTTCTAATTGTATTAAAACATATTTACTTTTCATTTTGCTTTTTAGGTTACATTAAACATTGATCAAGATTTGTAGGATCAACGAAGCTAAGAGCAATAAATTTTTCTGCTTGTTTCGAGTTTCAAAATATGAAGTCCCAACTGTATTTTTTTCTTCCAGACTTGAAGTCTATTTTTTCCTCTACAGACAGCTTTATAAATGGGCTTCCAGGGAGGCCTTAAAATCCTGCTTTGGATTTCCTAATGCAACTGGTTATTCATATGATCCCATTGCCAGACCATGAGAGTTTCCCAAAGCAGCGAAAAGGGGCAAATGAGAGATAAATTGTAAAGAATGTGTGTATCTGAGGGCAAGATTATCTGAGATGAAAGTAATTGTCTGTAAAAAGTGGGGCAGGATGCCACTGTGTCGGGAATATTCAACATGCTTTAGATTTGGCATTTCCTCCTAGGATCCAACTGCAAAGATTTCCACAGTTTGCTTGGAAGTGATACTTTGTAGTGCCACTTAATCCTTTCTTATTGATGGGGCAAGGATGGGTAAGAATACAGAGAAGCATCATTTGTTCTGGAACAATCAGTGGACAATTGCACTGGATACAGGCTGTTCAGCGTGCTTCCTTGAATGGACACTGGGTGGTCTGTGGGTCCCTAGCCCCCTGTAAATTTCAGGTCTAGCCTTGAACTTTAGGAAGAACTTTACTTCCTTTATAAAACTCTTCCAAATCTATGTCATGAGGTTTTTCTCTTCTCCAAGAAAGGGTATAGGCATGGAAACATAGATGCCATGAAGAGGCATTCTTTTTCTTCAGGTTAAGAGTCTGACCATCTCAAACTTTCTAAGGAGGTAGGTGCATGGGAATTCACATACATTGCTGTCAGGGGTGTGAATTAATAAAGCCAGTTTGGAAGAGAGATAGGCCTTACCTAGAAATGTTGATCATAAGCTCATTTCAAAGTGTATATATGGAGGAGTTTTTACACATGTACATGGAAAGACATCTGGGAGAATATTCATAGTATAGCATTGTTCCCAATAGTCAAAACCTGACAATCGTCGAAGTCTTGACTAACAGAAGTGTGGGTGATTAAATTGTGTCACACTCATGCCAGCAGAGTATCATGATTAAACCTCAAAAAGACTAAGCTGAATAGAAAAAACAATTACTATATCATTCTATTTATAAAAAATAAAAAAGCATACAAAAACTAAATATTTTGCTTGGGGATAAATTTACATGCTAAAAGAATCATTAACACAAAATTCATAATGATGGTTCCCTCAGGGATCAGGGGTATGTAAATAAATGTGGAGGTGCTAATAATATTCTCTTTTTCAGTCGAGGGAGTAAGAACAGAGGTAAGAATTTTATCAGTCTTTAATTCTCACTTTTTTGTTTGTAAAAAAAAAGATTTTGTGAATAAAGCATCAGGCTTAATTTTAAGAAAATTTACTTTAGACTTAAAGCACACATCCCACAAGGCAAATGGGAAATTCAGTCTTGGTCATTACAGGGGCTCTCTATTTTGAGAATTATAAAACTGTTTGTTTTTCCCTAACTTGAGGGTTATGTAAAGATTCTGAGGTCCTACATGAGTCAGCACCTAAGGAAGCCCCTCTGGTCATCAGCCACTGTCCACACTGATCCACTGACCCAGACTGCAGGTCCTTTTATGTCCATCAGACCCTGGTATATCCACCTCATACGTGGAACACAGGGATCTTTGGGGACAAGGGAGCAGATCCAAAGTTTCCCTGGGCCTAGAATTCAGCCTCCCTAGCACATCACACAGCTAACCCTTCTGAAACCTTTCTAACTCCCCATGTAATTTAGTCTCTGTTACCAAACTATGGTTCTTTAATGTCTCTGTGGATTTTTATGCCAGTGCCATGCTCTTTATTTTTTTAACTTTTCAACTGCAGTTAATATACAGTACTATATTAGTTTCAGGTGTACAACATAGTGATTAGATATAACTTACAAAATGATCCCCTGAGAAGTCTGGTGCCCATCTGACACCATACATAGTTATTGCTATAATACTGACTGTATTCCCTGTGCTGTGCATCCCTGTGACTGTTTTTATAACTGGCAATTTGCACATCTTAACCTCCTCTCTTTTTGCACCCAGCCTCCTAAGTCCCTCCCTTCTGGTGGCCATCAAAATGTTTTCTGTATCTGAGTTTGTTTCTGCTTTGTTTGTTCATTTACTTTTATATTTTAGATTCTACATATAAGTGAAATTATGATGTTTGTCTTTCTTTGTCTGATTTCATTTAACATAATATCCTCCAGGTCTAACCATGTTGTTATAAATGGTATGATTTCACTTTTTTTTATGGCTGAGCAATCTGGCATCATATATATGTATCACATCTTCTTTATTCATTTGTCTACTAATGGGAACTTAGGTTGTTTCCATATCTTGGCTATTGTAAATAATGCCACAGCAAAGATAGGGATGCATATGTCTTTTTAAATTAGTGTTTTGAGTTTTTCAGCTAAGTACACAGAAGTGTAATTGCTGGGGCCTTCTTTGTCTCTTATTACACTTTTTGTTTTAAAGTCTATTTTGTCTAATATTAGTATTATTACCCCAGTGTTTTTTCATTTTTATTTGCATGAAATTTCTTTTTCCATCACTTTCAGTCTGTGTGTCTTTCAGTCTGAAGTGGGTCTCTTGTAGTCAGCATATGTGTATGGGTCTTCTTCATTCAGCCACCCTCTGCCTTTCAATTGGTATAGGGAACCAATCTTCCTGGCAATGGCAAATGTAGCCCAGCCCTATCGGAAAACCAGCAGGCATGAGTCAGCACACAGGAAGCCAAACCCACAAATTAGCTTTCCTGTGGGAAACCAGGCCTGGCATTATACCTAGGATGCTCTGAGGCTTACTTTTGCTAAAACTCCCTCACCCTGAGTTGAAGCATAAATGTTTACTGCATATATTTAAAGTAACTTCCTGAAGTCTGTGCTAATTCTCCCAAGAAGGGAGTGTAATCAGACTAATCATTCTCATGGTTCCCTTGCATTTGCAACATTTTTTCTTTATTAACCTGTAAGAAGTAATCAGTAACATTCTTTCCTCTGTTATCTGTAAAATGTAATCACCTAAAGCAAACCTGAGGATAATGAATAAGAACATTCTCTGATGTATGCTATTAGAAAGCAATAAAAGCCTCTATAGGCAAGGGTTGAGGTGCTTTCTCTTTCAGAGAGTGGCTGAGCCAACCCTGTTTCTCCATGGGACTTCTGTGACTACAGAAGTGTGAATTTGTTCATTGCATCCACAACACCACTGGTCAGAGTCCACATCAGATTGGAGCATTTAAGCCATTTATATTTAAAGTAATTATTGATAGATATGCATTTATTGCCATTTTTCTTTTAACTATATTCTCCTTTTTGTTCTGTTTTTTCTTATTTTTTAATATATTTTATTGATTATGCCATTACAGTTGTTCTATTCCCCCCTTCATTCCCCTCCACCCTACCCCCATCCCTACCATTACCCCCCCTTTAGTTTATGACCATGTGTCTCAAGTTCTTTAGATTCTATATTTCCCATACTATTCTTGCCCCCCTCGTCTATTTTCTATCTACTGTCTATGCTACTTATTTTCTGTACCTTCTCCCCCCTTCTCCTTCTCCCACTCCCCTGTTGCTAACCCTCCTTGAGATCTTCCTTTCTATGTTTCCCTCCTGATCTAGCTGTCCTTTTAGTTTGTTTTTATTTTAGGTGTGGTTCTTAGTAACTGTGAGTTTGCTGTCCTTTCACTATTCATCTTTTTTATCTTCATTTTCTTAGATAAGTCCCTTTAACATTTCATATAATAAGGGCTTGGTGATGATGAACTCCTAGAATTTGATCTTATCTGAGAAGCACTTTATCTGTCCTTCCATTCTAAATGAAAGTTTTGCTGGATAGAGTAATCTTGAATGTAGGTCTTTGGATTTCATGACTTGGAATACCTCTTTCCAGCCCCTTCTTGCCTGTAAGGTCTCTTTTGAGAAATCAGCTGACAGTCTGATAGGAATTCCTTTGTAGGTGACTGTCCCCTTATCTCTTGCTGCTTCTAGGATTCTCTCCTTCATTTTAATTTTGGCTAATGTAATGATGATGTGCCTTGGTGTGTTTCTTCTTGGGTCCAATTTCTTTGGTACTCTCTGAGCTTCCTGGATTTCCTGGAAGTCTATTTCCCTTTGCCAGATTGGGGGAAATTCTCCTTTATTATTTGTTCAAATAAGTTTTCCACTGGTGGCTGTGCCTTTCCCCCTTCTGGTACCCCTATAATTCGAATGTTGGAACGTTTAAAGATGTCCTGGAGGTTCCTAAGACTCTCCTCATTCTTTTGAATTCTTGCTTCTTCACTCTTTTCTGTTTGGCCATTATTTGCTTTCTTCTGGTCCACTCCATTGATTTGAGTTCCAGTTTCCTTTCCATTACTATTGGTGTCCTGTGCAATTCCATTCATTGCAATTAGTTTAGCCCTCATATGTTCCTCTAATTTGTGGCAATAATCAACCAGTTCTGTGAGGATCCTGATCATCAGTGTTTTAAACTGTGCATCTGAGAGTTTTGCTATTTCTTCATTGCTTAGATTTTATAGGCTCTGGGGCTTTGAGATCTTTTGGAGCAATATTTGGTCTGTTCACGCCGGTTAAGTGTGAGGAGCGGAGCCTGGGACTCCCAGGTCGCTGGTTTGTGATGCTATATGTGGAGGCAGGGTCAGAGCAGGGAAATGGCGGCTCCCTCTGCTGCTGCTGGGGGCCTGCTGGGTCCCGTCTAATCGCCCACTCCCTCGCTTGTCTATCTGCGCATGAATGTGCAACCACAGTCAACCTACAGCCTTGCTCCCTCGCCGTTTCCCTAGGTCGCTCGCTGTGTTGCTCACTAGGTCCAACCCTGCGCCTGGATTCCGTGCACCTGAATCCATGTGACCAAGTTTTCCTGTGCAAACCCGCTCCGCCAGCTGCTGGTTTCACCCCTCTTACCGGTCAGGCTGAAGAATTTGTTGTTATCAGACTTCCAAAAAGTTCAATTTTCTGTGTTCTGGCTGTGTTTTCTGTTGCT